TTATTACGTTAGGGGGTAAAATCTGCGATATTCACCGACAGAAAATTTTTTTTTTACTAGTCTTGCCCTGTAATTGTTTTTTTCCAGCGTACTTTTACTTTTGCAAATTTAAAAAAACGACAAATGTAAGACAACTAAATAATAATAATAATAATAATAATAATAATAATAATAATAATAATAAAAACATGCCTTAAAGTCAAAATAAGAAAATGTCACTCGTTCATTATTCGCGTTAATTTATTTCCAATTTAAAAAATAAATTAAATTTGATTTCGTTTATTATTACTTTCACGTTAAAATAAAATAAAAATTTTCCATTTTCCAGAGTGTTTTTTCTTAATTAAAATTTTCTTTTTTATAATAATTTGCAGAAATTTCCAAAATAATAATAATAATAATAATAATAATAATAATAATAATAATAATAATAATAATAATAATAATAATTTTATTTTAATCGGTTTTTTTTATTCGTTTCGATTTCACCGTGTGTATATATATTACAGTAAATATTTCGAATCCTATCGAAATTCGATTTTTTTTTGTATTTTCGAAAAGTAAAATTTTTTTTTTTTTATTACGTGACGCCAACACTATTATTAAATCATTATTATTATTATTATTTGTCATCACAATCGTAAAGAATTGTATTAAGAAAAAAAATTTGAAAAAAACATAAACGAACAAACACACACCGTGATAAAATTCGAGTTTATGTATATATTTATATATATAGACCATAAAAATTTATTATTATTATTATTATTATTTTTAATAAATAAAGCGCGTTATGTATAATTTTATTAATATATAATAATAATAATAATAATTAATCAAAACGCATTATTAAAATTTATTTTTTTTTTTTTTTTTTAGTTTTAATCACGTGCAAAACGTTTCAAGTCGTTTAAACCCGATTAATTAGAAAAAACCTCGAGGACGTAAAAAAATAAACCCGACAAAATAAAAATGATTGCCATTTTTTTATTCCCCCCCCTTTCTTTCTTTCCTTTTGCTCTGATTGATCGTGATCTCCCCGAGGTATTTACGCCCCTCATCCGGCTACTCATTCATACTCACGTATGTGCGTGCGTGAGTTTTTCCTTTCCTTTCCCCCCGTTTTCTAATTAAATTTAACATTTTCCTCTCAATGATACACATTCGAATCGACTATCGTTTTTCTAAAGTAATTCTATACGCGTGATAACGACAAATTCCGACAGGAAAACATATTAATAATAATAATAATGACCTTTTTCCCCCCCCCCCCTCACTCAAAAATACATTTAAAGTAAAAGGATTCATTCGCATTTATTTACATTTTATCCAAAACAACGTATAATTTTACAAGAGTTTAAATGGTAGTTTTAATCCTATTATTATTATTATCATTATTATTATTATTTAAATAACGTTTTTTTTTCAATGCGTTCGAAACGGCAAAAGTCAATCGATATTAAAAAAAAATTTAAATTGTTTATAATTTTTCATTATTAAATATTTTTTTTTGCAAAATCATTTTCATCATCATCATTATCGTTAAAAATTATGGATTTGACTCGATTTATTTATTATTATTATTTTTTACATTGGTCTCGCGCGACGTTTTCATTGTAACCGTTTCTTTTTCCCCCTCCCCTCCTCTCCATTTTAAATCCGGTTTTATATAGAATCGCCTCGAGAGAGAGAGAAAAGTGTTTGTTGTTGTTGTTTTTAAATTTAAACAATTTGTAAAATGTGTCGTATATTTTACTGTTTTGTTTTTTTAGTTCGCCTACTTCCCCCCTCCCCCTCATAACCAAAAAAAAATTATTATTTTCTTAAACGCTTTGTATATGCCCCTCACTCCTCCCCCCTTTTGTTTTTTCCACTCTCATCTTCTTCTTCCACGTTTTCTCACCGAGTATTGTTTAAGTTTTTTTTGTTTTTGTTTTTTTTTTTTTTTTGTTTTTCACATTCTATACGTTTCAATTTTATTATTATTATTATTATTATTACTTTTTAAATTTTTCCCTACTTTCCCTGAGTTATTATTATTATTATTATTATTATTATTATTTTTACGTTATCTATTGTTAATAAAAATTATCTGTTGTCTGGTGGTGGTGCCCTTATATTAAATGCAATTTTTTTTTTTTTAAATATCATATCCGTTCATCGTAGGAAAATTTTTTGTGTGTGTGTGTGATCCGGTTTTAATGATCAAGGTCAGTTCATGACCTCTCTCATTTTTATTTATTATTATTATTATTATTATTATTATTATTATTAATGGGGGACATAGAAAAAAATTATTTAATTAAAAATTTTTTATAATAATAATAATAATAAAGTTTTGTCGTTACTAAATCCAAATCTTAAAATCTTTTATGCTATGTCATTTGAATTTCAAATACGTACGCGCTTATTAATAAATAAATAAATAAATAATAATAATAATAATAATAATATCGTTACTTCTTATTATTAACAATAACAAAATAATTTCCTTTTAATAAATAAATAAATTCGAATTCATTTTCGATCACGTGTTACTAAAGCGAAAAAAAAAAAAAAACAGGGCAAAACGGCGTAAAGAAAAATATTATTATTATTATTATTATTATTATTATTATCATCATCATTATTAACATTATTTTAATGTAAATTTTTTTTTTTTTTTTGATGTGAAAATTTTCATATTAAAATAAGAAAAAAAAAAAAAAAAAGAAAAATTTTTTTTCTCACCATTAACATTTAAAAAAAAGAAAAAAAAAAGGCATGGAATAATAATAATAATAATAACAACAACAACAACAACAACAACAATAATAATAATAATAATAATAATAATAATAATAATAATAATAATAATAATAATAATAATATTAATTTTTTTTTTTTTGAACGGAGTCATTAAAATGGCACATATACGAAACGTTAAAAAAAAAAAAAAAGTGAAAATTTTTTTTTTTTTTTTTTATTTGTTGGAGAGATGAATTCGCGCTTTATGCTGTTAATTGTATAAAAGAGAGAGAGAGAGAGAGAAACGCGTTTTCGAACTTTAAAAACAAATTCGAGTACCCCCCCAAAAAAAAAGCGAAATTTAGACCCCCCCCCATTATATACGTGAGAGTATTAACTCAATTATTCCTCCCCAAATTTTTTTTTTTTTTCCCTAAAAGTTTTTACAACAAACAAACGATAAATTTATTATTATTATTATTATTATTATATTATTAAAATTGATACTAACCGAAATTGTTAAAACGTTAATGATGATAATAATAATTATAATGAAAATGTTTAAAAAAAAAAGAAAAATTTTTTTTTTCTTTCTTCGGACCCCCAAACAAATTTTCTATCATTAAAAAGCAGAAGCATTTTTTTTTTTTTGGTTGTTGTTTGTTTACATGTAAACGTTTTCTTTTTTTTTAAACAAACGAACAAACGATGGTATAATGAGACAAAGTTGTCAACTACATTTTACATTTCTACAACAAATTCGGGGTAGAAAATAAACATTTTACGGTTACGAAAAAAGGGAGACAAAATTACAATTTGATACGGATACGAACTAAACATTATCATCATCATCATCATCATCATTACCATCATCAACAACATCAACATAATTTTCGATTTAATTTTTTCTACCGGGTCAAAACAAAAACAACCGCAAAATAAAACAATTAAATAATACGGTTAAATTTTATATAAATAAAAAGTTAATAATAAAATGCGAAACTTGGGGAGGGAGTGAAGGGGAAGGGGAGGGGAGAGGGATAAGGAGGAGAAGGAGGAGAAAAAATTTATGATGGTTATTTAAGTATCACAAATTTATTTTGTGGAAGACACCGTTTATGAAATAAGATTATAATATGACCACTTTCCCTGACCTTCATTGAACTTAGACCCCTGAGAATTTTATTTATTTTATTTTGGAAATCATAAAAAAAAAAAAAAAAATTTCACCGCGTCGCTGACCGGTATACGGAATTTAATTCCCCCAAATTTTTTTTTAAATAAAGTAATGTAATGTGAAAAACCAAAATGGCCGCGAGTTGTTTTCCTCTTAACTTTGATCATTTTTAAAATGGATAAAATTAATTTTTTTAATTTCTTAGTCTAGTTACACTTTTTTTTTTTTTTTAAAAAAAGAAAATCTCATGAAAATTTTTTATGTAAATGTTTTTGTTTTGTTTTTAAATACTTGAGAATGAAAATTTTTTATTAATAATAATAATAATAAAAAAAGGAGAAAATACTTTGTTTTTATTCGTGTTCTCACGTTTTATAAAAAATTCTATAGGGCAATGAATGTCATGGGAGTAAAAATTTTTTTTTGTTTTTGTTTTTAAAAAGGTTTTAAATATTATGTTTTTTTTATCAATGAAAAAATACGATTCGGTCGGTAATTACGATTTTGTTTTTTTTTGAGGGTGGGGAGGGAAGGGGAGGAAACCTGATTTTAAATTCACGGTCAAGTTCGAAGGTAGACGTTAAAACGCGTATTATAAAATTTCAAGGTTCGATTTATATATTTATAAAATCCCCTTTTCCACATTCTTTTTTTTTTCAGAAAATAATAATAATAATATATAAAAATATATCGTCTGCATGAAAATTTTGTTATTATTATTATCATTCTTTTCCACATCACTCATAGATAGAATTCAACGTTTAATTTAAATAGAAAAAAAAAAAAAACAAAGTCATTCCCTTATTACTCTAGACACCATGTTTATGTTTATGTTTTTTTTTACGAAACAATCAAGTTTTTAAAATTTGTTTTATATTCGGTAGTTTTTGTTTGTTTGTTTGTTTTGGGGACGTTTTAAGTATTTCTCTCTCTCTCTCTCTCTCTCTCTCTCTCTCTTACTAGAATTTTTATTTATTTTTTTAACGATAATTCTCTTATCTGACTAACATCTTAAAGAATGGTAAACGATAATGACCATCCAATAGTTTGTATTATGACATGCAAAAGAATCATTTGAAAAAACTTTTATATATATATAAATATTTCATGTTGTTTTACCAGTTTTAAGTTTCACTTTCTACTTAGTACACATCAAGATGACAACTTAAGCACACGAAAAAAAGCACACAAAAATTAATTTTCTATTCGTTTATATTACCTTTTAAAAATAACTTACACGACCCGTACATTAATTTCATTAATAATTTTTTTTCAAGGTCAACCAAAACAACCATTTTGTTTTTTAAACATCTTCACACAAATTATAGAAATTTTTTTTTTTTTTTTTTTTCGATCAGATGTTATAATACTTGTTTTTTTTTTTTTTTTACATTTACGATTATTTTCATTTTCTTTTTTTGTTGTTGTACAAAAACGGGGTCAAACATTTTTCTCATTAATGATTTTTTATTTATTTATATGCCATTACAATGAAGATGACTTCGACCAGTTATTAATTAATTTTACAACACTACCACCTAAATCGTGTGAAAGTAATTTTTAAACAAACACCTGATGAATTTTTAACAATTTTTTTATTTTACATAAAGAAAGTGTTAAATTGTTTTTAAGAAAAAAAAAAAGTGGTATTGGGGTGAAAAAAAAGATTCAACTTGTACGTTTGACCTTTAAGTAGCAAATATACTTTTTCCTAAAAAAAAGGAGTAAAGAACAAGTGCTTGATGTTGAGATAACTCATCTAGTTTGGCTATAAATTAAAAAAAATTATTTTAACGGTTTAAATTACTCCTTCTTTAACAATTTTTCTTCATTCATTACTTTCCGCTAATGAGAGACTAATTCATAAAACGTTTTTTTTTTTTTTTTACAGATGGGAAAAATTTTCAAATATGTCCTTCTCCTTAGCAATCTAACATTAATATTAGGAATACAAAATTACAAAGAAGAAACTCATTCACCAAGTGATTTAGATATTAAAAAACCGATAAATGTCACGTACTCATCAAGAGTCGGACATTTTTTCCCAAAAAATGGAAATGATTCCTTACAAAGAAAAGAATTTTTCCAACAAAAAAGAAAAAATTTACACGGTCTTAATACCGAAAATAAAATCAAAGAACCACTTAAAACTTTAGGGCTTAGCGCTTACGAAGAAAAACCGCATCAGCGACAAAGTCTAAGAAGGAAAAATTTCGTTCAGCCATATTGGAAAAACGAATTTCGAAATCCCACGAGATTTAGAGAGCAAAAACAAAAGCCGAAAAATTTTATTCCGCTTCATTCGCAAGAACTGTTTCCGACACAGGGTTACAGAACACCCAATAATAATAGTTTCAATAAGGGAATTCAAACCGGTAATAAAAATTTCAAACCTTCTTTTTTTAAAAATGTCTCGCATGCTCATCAATTAAACGAACCGCAAGGCTCAGAAAGTCACAATGTCTATCAGAGACATCAACAATACGGAGGAGGCGGAAGAAATCCAAAATTTTTTAATCCGAAACAAAATATAAAAATTTCTTGTGACGCGTGCAATAGCGTACCTTGGGTTCCTCTCATAAAAGTCCCCAATTCTTATAGGCAAGAAAGAAATCAAAATTTTCAAAAAGTTCATCAAAAACCGAATTTTAATAACGCTCCTGCCAATTATCAACCTTCCCTTTCACCTCCACCTCCACCTTCACCTGTGAATTCACAAAGTTCATACAGTTCGCATAATTCACAAAATTCATATAATACGCCAAATGCACCTAATTCGTATAATGCACCACACGCACCTAATTCGTATGCTACCCCAAATGCACCTAATTCGTATAATGCGCCACATGCACCTGATTCATATAATGCGCCACATGCACCTAATTTATATAATGCGCCACATGCACCTGATTCATATAATGCGCCACATGCACCTGATTCATATAATGCGCCACATGCACCTAACTCATATAATTCGCATAATTCCCATAGTAATTTATTATTATCATCCTCAAGTCCATTGGTGCCACCTACTCCTACAATTCTAGATGGTACTATTTCTAGTAGTTATGGCCTCCCTGCGGGAAACATTCCTACCGCTCACGGAATGCTCGCGCCACTTAATCCATACGCTCCGCAATATCATAAATATGGAGACGAGATTGCTTCTTACACCGACAATTTGCCATTATTTGCTTCACCGAATTTAGTCGGTAGCAGTCCTATTCCAGCCATAAATCCCATTCAAATGATCCCGTTTTATAATTCCGGTCCATTTTACGGTGGAACATTATTCGAAACATCAGATATCGGACTCGTTCCACCCACTGTAAATCCTGTATCCGTTTCGAACGTAATTTTTACAATATCCGAAGGAAATTCTCACAATATCATTCCTAATAATCTGGACAATCTAAATCACGATAATACTCATTTAAATTCAAATGAAAATATTAGCTTCCAGCAAAGTTCAAAAGTTGAACTTGTTGAGTCATTAGAATCTAATAAAATTTCAAAAGAAACGAAAAGTCAAGTTCAAAAGTTAAAAGGTATAGAAATTGTAAAAAGCGTGCCGGTCGCTGAGTTTTCCACTTCGGATAATAATATTCAACAAAGTGTGAGTGTGGAAAAAAATGTTTCTCAGGATTTGGTTCATTCGCAAAGTAATCAAAACGTGGTTAGTAATGATCCCTCTAGCTATTTAGTACCTCCTCCACCGATTTATTTTAATAAAACTGAATCTCCTTTTCAAGAAATATACGATTTTAAAAAAGAATTAGAATCTAATAACTATCATAATTCTTTGGAAACGACTACAGCCCCACCGAAAATCCTTGGACCCTCTTCGTGGTTATTCTTAAACCCACCTTCAGCTCCCAAAGATGATATTAAACCTCACATCCCTTCGATTGCTGCCGAATCACAAGAAATTGCATCCATTGTAAATAACGAATTTCACTCCGTATCTCCTCAACCTTTACCGGTTTCGGCGTCTGATGTTCAAAAACCTGATAATTCCCAGGCGAAAAAAATTCAAATTATCATTCCGTACGTTCGGGACAATCAGGAATTGAATAAGGATTTCAATAAAGATTTTGATAAAGATTTGGATACAGATTATGATAAAGACTTGGATAAAGACGATCCGAACAGTTTGGAAAGCGTCAGACACGAAGTTTACGAGACATTACAAGCTTTATCAAATAAATCGGAAGCCGAATACGCCATAAGGCATGAAGGTGCAAAACCGTCATCCAGTTATTTAGATTTATATGAAAAGGATCAAATTGACAAAGGTACGGAAAATGCAGAAACTTTTAATCAAAAGCTTTTACATGAAAAAGGCATAAATAAAGATAAAGATTCCGACAAAAAGTACATAACTGAAATGCAGCATATATTGGCAAAAAATATCAAAGAATTATTGAGTCGGGAAATTGAGAAAAGCGAAACAAATCAAAATTTTCCACTTCAAAACAACATTGACAACTGGACAGCATTAGAATATTCAAATCACAAAACTATCACTAACAAAGAGCCCCAGGACATAATTGCTCAGGCTCTTTCGGTTACATCAATTCCAGGAGTGTCATTATCTCATGTTCTTTTGCCTTCGAAGAAAATTCCAGAAGATTATTTTTCCAGCACATCGCCACCCCTAATCGAACAATCTTATAAAACACATCATAAGTCATCAAATTTCAGTGTTAATAGTAGGCCGTTTACGGCAAGACCGTTTACGGCTACCTTAACGTCTATTTTTACATCTTTCGGTTCGGAAATTACCACGCCTCAAACTCCGTTGTCTTCGGTACCCTCACGGAATATCAAAAATCAAACATCCGAAGACAATTATACGATATCAGGGAAAAGCAGAGTCAATTATTGGGGAAAATTAAATGAAAATGGAATTTCACCGGAAGTTAAAAACCCGTACAAAAACTTTGTGGAAACCACTCTATCTCTTCAAACCAGTATTAGTCCCGTTTATTCGCGTGGCACGGAAAAAATCGAAATAGTAACACCGGTATCGGTAACGCCGAGAAAAACGGATTCGAGTAAAACAATACGAACGACAAGACAAATCCGTACGACGGAAAGAACAATTTTTAGAAAACCACCACCATCGTGGCGTCAAAATTTTCGAACGAAATCCTTTTTCCCGAGGAAAAATTTAACTAAAACAAACGATTTAAAAGTGTCTTCTACAAAATTACAAGAAGTTTCTAGTTTATTTTTCGAAAGCAAAAAAATCAGTGCTCTCGCATCGAACTCCAGTGACAATTTAAAAAAAAATCAAACGATTACATCAACAATCGGTGGAAAAAAAAATAATATAAAAAAAAAAGTTAACAGTAGTAGTGAAGTAGTCGGTGTTAAGAAGTTTACAACTCACTCTACTCTAACTATAGATACGCGTAAAAAAAACACAACAAGTGATATCATTAGTGGTAATCAATTAAAAAAGACAACAACAACAAACACGAGTGAAGTATTATCGATAAATGACATTATTCCTTTTCGTAATAAACAACTTCCATGGGAGTCGAACGTTAACGACAGCACGAGTGAAAACATAATCAGACAAAGGAAAAGTCTAATAAAACAAGTTAATTTACGAAGGCCTAGACATGCGTCATTTCTTTCTACTACTACCAACCTGTTTACTGATTCAAAATCAGACTCGGTGAGTAAAAAAAAAAAAAAAAAGTTTTTCTTTTTTGTTTTAAATCTCAACCGAAATTTCGTTAATTATCCTTATGTACTCGACTCTCTTAGTGGAGGTACCCGTGCATTGGTAACCGTGTAATTTCAAATTTTTTGGTGTAAGGTACATGCTAATCAAAACGAATTACACTACGCGGCCTTGGAAAGTGGCTTAACTATAATTTATGTTGGTAGAAATTAACTTTCGCGCTTTTAATTTTGAATACCATAAGGTATCGTGTAAAGTAGAATCCGCGAGTTTTTCCCATCAGGTTTTCCCGTTCGTGAAAATTTTGTTTTGACAGTTTTAGTTCGACTAACACATTAATCCACGTGTGATCCCCCCACGCAATCTAACACGCCTTGAAAAAATCCATTACAAGGTATTTTAACGAATAAAACAAACAACAAACGTTTTGTAAGGTTCAACAGCATAAGTCGGATAAGAGAAAATAATTTTTTCGAATCGAAATTTTTAAGATCGAGATCGATAGTAATTATTTAGTAAAACGAAAGTTAATCGATCGAAAATTTATCGAAACCAAAGTATTATTAATTAATAATAATAATAATAATAATTTTTCATTCGCTTTTTAATTACCCGTACGCGTATTGAAACATCGATACCCGATTATCATTCATTCTTGATTAATTATTTAAACTTTTTTGTTTTTTTTTTCGCATCTAGTTCCACGTAATAATTTTCGGATGAGGAGGAGAGCATACCGCGAATTATTTTTAAAAACTTTTTCTACGGTCAAACCAAAAAAAAATGTTATTTTTGTGCGCGTTTTATGACCCCAAAACGTCTTCTTTCTCCGTTAAAAAAAAAAAAAAAAAAATTACTTAGATTAATTAATCTCTAACGACAATAAAACTTAAATCGCACCTAATTTTTATTTTCTTTTCTTTTTTTTTACGAACTCGTTTGTGTTCTCTCTCTCTCTCTCTCTCTCTCTCTCTCTCTCTCTCACATTATTTGGCCCCCGTATAAACAAAAACGAGAAATTTTTTTTTTTTCGTGTGTGTAAAAAAAAAAAAAAAAAAACTCACCATTTTGAAGATGTTTCCTCATTATTTATCTTTATCCAAAATCCACCAAAAATTTTCCTCCCGATGTTTTATGATTTCCCTGGAAAAACAAAAATACGGTAAATTATTTCCAGAATTTCATATCAATTAATAAAAAAAAAAAAAAAAGATAAAAACTTCTCACAAAATAAAAAAAAAAAATTTTTTTAATTTTATAGTTTTTTTTTTTTTTTTGTAGGACGTTGTTAATTAACATTAAAATTCACAGGGAAAAATTTATTCGAAAGTTTTTTCTTTTTTTTTTGTTTGTTTTGTTTTGTGTGTGTGCGTGTGCGTGTGCGTGCGTGTGTGTGTTTGTGTGTTTTTCACAAAAGATCTTCAAGTCCGGGATCGATTTTTTTTGCATTGTAAAATTAAGTGAAAACACATTTATATTAATCACGATTCGAACTACTGAACCTGATAAAAAAAAATTAAAAATAAGAATGTGTTAAAAGGTTGTTGATGTTGTTGTTGTTGTTGTTGTTGTTGTTTGTTCATGTTGTTGAAACCAATTGAAAGAAATTTATTCGTAGGCGTTTTTTTTTAAGAGTCAAGAAAGAGCAAATCGTTTTCTTTTTTTTTCTCATAGAAATTCAATAAAATTTTTTTTAAGTTTTATTTTAAAATCTATGATTCTCCATTTTAAACTTGATAATAATAATAATAATAATAATAATAATAATAATAATAGTATGTAAATTTGAATTATCCGCATTATTATTTTATTTATAAACGATTTGCTTTTTTTATTTTAGACAAAAAAAAATTAACAATTACTACCAATCGATATAATCCCACTCAATTCATCAAATTTTTTTTTTTTTTTTTTAGTTTAAAGTAAAATTTGCGACCAACGACAATATTATTATAAATTCATAAATTTAAAAAAGCAGAAGACTTTTTTTTAAATTTTTTTAAACAATTTTAAAACATTAAACACTCTCGCTTCCATAAAAAAATTATTTTCACCCATCATCTGCGTTTTATTCCTTTCTTTAAAAAAATTACCATCATCATCATCATCATCATCAGCATTTTTATTATTATTATTATTTAATAATATTAATAATAATAAAATCATGTACTAAAAAAAATTTTTTTTTTTTTTTTTACTTTCTAGTGTATCAAATAAAATTCAAAACGAAAGTGTAACCATTTGCTATAAAAAAATTCGATTTCGATATTTTATTTTATTTAAAAAAATTTTTTTTTTGCCCCCCTTTTTTTGACAACTTCGATCAAGTAGTAATAATAATAATAATAAAGAATCTTAATTTTAATTTTCCATATATATTTTCCTCGCAAATTTCATTAAAATTTTCCTAATAAAAAAAAAAAAAAAAAAAAAAAATTCGTAAGACCGCAATTATTACATTTTATTTTCATATTATTATTATTATTATTATTATTATTATTATTATTATTAATATTAAGAATGATAATAATCGAAGTGATAATTCAAACAAAATGCCAACCGTAATTTTAAATAAATAAATAAAAATTACGTGATAATATTATCTATAAAAAAAAAAAAAAAATGCTCACCGAAATTTTCTAAAATGTCTCCTCGAGATTTTCCTTTTTTTTTTTCTATTCGAATATTACATAAATCCAGAAAAGACTTTTCCACATTTTCTTTGTTTTTTTTCACATAACAAAACGATGGGATTACGTATTTAAATTTTTTTTCCCCCTGAAACAAACAAAAAAAAATTATTATTATTATTTTATGAAAAAAAAAAAAAAAAAATTTTGGAAAATTTTTTTTTACTTTTCTTTCCATTAAATTTTTTTTTTTTTTTTTTTATTGATTATTATCGTGACGTCGTAATTATTAGAAAGTTTTACAAAAAATTAATTAATTAATTACTATTATAGATTATTATAATATTTTGAGTTAATGTTACATTCGAAAAATTATTATTATTATTATTATTAGGTGATAAATAAATTTAATAAATTTTTATTTACGTCGTAGAAAGTAATAAAAAAAAATTTTGATATAAATATTTGATGAATTTAAAAGAAAGTTTTTCTTTTAGGCGCGATGATTAAATTTAAAGATTTTGTGTAAAAAAAAAAAAAAAAAATTAAAAAAATTAAAAAATCACCGGAAAAATTAAATTAAATTAAATTAAATCGCATAATGGCGCATCTTTGATAATTTTAAAAGTGAAATAATAATAATAATAATATTTAAAAGTGAAATTTAAATTTAATTTTTCCTTTTTTCCATTTTTAATTCATAATATAATTGTTAAAGACTCTAGTAATAATAATAATAATAATTGATGGGGGTAATATATACAATTTATAAATCTAATAATTTCATTTTTAAACAAATAATAATAATAATAACAACAACGGTGTAACTAATACAAACAAGTTTTTAAATAAATCAAATTAAAAAAAAAAAAAAACGGAAGCTGGAAAATTAAATGTTATTCAATTGACCTTATCGAATCATTTTTAACCACCGGATACACATCAACAACTTTCTAATTATTAATTTTATATAAAAAATAAATTTTTATTTTAAACCCTCGTCTTCGAGACTATTCTATAATAATAATAATAATTTTTATCAAAAAATAAATTAATAAATTGTCAGTCACTCTTAATAAATTAAAATAATATTTTTAATCGATAATTTTTACAAAAAAAAACGTGATTTAATTATCGATAAAAACAAACAAACAAACAAACAAACAAAAACAAAACCTGGTGAAAGTACAAACAACCGAAAAAAAAAAAAAAACAAAAAAAAAATCCAGGTTGAAGATGTTTTTTTCATGATAAAAAAAAAAAAAATTTTTTTCAAAGAAAACATCTTCTTCTTCTTGATTATAATTAACCGGCATTATTATTATTATTATTATTATTATTATTATTATTATTATTATTATTATTATTATTATTATTATTATTTTTGTCTGTTATACCAATAAATAAAATAAAATTTTTAAATCCAGTTATTATTAATCAAACAACCTACTGAAATAATTTTATCCACATTTGTTTGTTTCTTTTCAAATTATAAATTAAAAGTAACTTGCAAAAAAAAAAAAAAAATCACAAAATTTGACTTATTACACACTAATAATAATAATAATAATAATAATAATAATAATAATAATAATAATAATTGAATTATTTCTTTTACAACACAACAACTTTTTTTTTTTTTTTTTTTTAATTAATAAAACAAGTCGTTAGTTACATTAATAACATAAAACATAATAATGTTATTAATAAAATTGTATTATTTACATGTAAAAATAATTTTTTTTTTTCAATACTTATTAACATAAACAAATAAAAATCGTTTTAATTATTCATTCGTTATTTAAATTAATTAATTAATTAAATTATTATTATTTTTTTTTTTTCAGAAACGAGAGCATAAATGAAAACACAAAACAAATCATAACACATTATGCGGATCAAATATTGATTGTAAACAATATAATTGTTTGAGTGCAAAAATGTATCATCATCATGTTTATAGTTTTATAAGTATTATTATACAAGTTGTCAATGGCCATATTTTTTTTTTTTTTTTAAAAAAAAAAGCCAAATTTAATTAACTTGATCACATCAATATAAATAATAATAATAATAAAAAGAAGATAAAAAAAAAATATTGAATGACAATATTTGAAAAAAAAAAAAATTTAGGCGACGAGTGAAAGCGTGTATTTATTTATTTATTTATTTTTTATTTTATTTTATTATTATTATTATTATTATTATTATTATTATTTTATTTATTTATTTTTTGTTTTGAGTATTATTAAAAATAATTCTTCTTATTATTTAAAAACGATAGATAAAAAGAAAATACATTTGCAAAAGTGGTAAAAATGAAAATTTAAAATACAGTAAAAAATTATTTACAATAATTAAAATAACATTTACCTAATAGTTGTAATAATAATAATAATAATAATACAGTAATATTTATTAAAAAAAAAAAAAAAGAGAGAGTATAAAGAAAATTTAATAAAT